AAAGGTTTTGGGGACGGACCACGTAATTTTGAACCATGGTCAAGTGACGTGGACAACATCTAAGCTGGCACCCCTCTCTCCTAACTACCACACCACACCGACGGGAGGACGTTAGAGCTCTCGACAAATTTAACGTGCATCGCTCCCATACACGGCGGGTCTTTATAGGTACAGGGCTCGAACTCGTGACAAGGCCAGCCACGATCCGATACTTTGACCACTAGGGTACCACGGCCAGGGGACTCGAACTCATGACATGCCGGTCACAAGTTGGTCACTATAACCTCTAGGCTACCGCTGCTACAAAAGAGGATAGAATCACGCTCATTTCAACCATTCTCTCTCCTTATTTCCAATGAAGTACATTGCGCTTTGACAAAAAAAAAGACCAAACTCCAAGAAAAAAAAAAGCATTTGAGTTTTCTGGAGAACGAAATCAACCTCAGAAAAACGAATTTTTTCGCAAAAATTTCGACACGTATTTCCTTGAAAATAATAAATGTTAAAAAAAAAATTCTCCTTCTATAAAATCATAATTTGAGGCATGCACCCAAAAAACTCACTTTTCCGGTTTTTTTGTGTTTCCAAAAAAAAAAATGCTTTACACAACATAAATAAAAGAGTTTCCAAAATAGGCTAATAAATATTTTTCCAGCAGAAATCACTTTCTATTAGTAGATGCTCTTTTCATTCTATGGTAAAAAAGAAATAATCACAACTTAAAATACATGCATCTATATTCAAACTCAACAGAAAGGAGTAATAGAATAAGCCCTACGGGAATTACGGAGAATAAAGGTGTGTAAAATCGGGGAGAGATGAAGCGAAGTTAAACGAAGCATAAATAAAGGAAGGAGAGAAAAAAAAATTGCAGTGTTTTGAATTATTACCAGCAGTTTTCATGCGTGACCTTGAAGCCACTTGAAACAGTGCCAGAACGTAGAAACGAATTGGGAGTGTAGGAAGAGTAAGGCTATGAGTGTATAGAAAAGAGAGAGAAAGGTGTATTTTTTTCTCGGACAAGGCTGTTGTTAAAAAGTTACTGGGTCGGTACGGTGTGTTAACTATTTAGCTGAAGAGCGATGAATTTTTTTTCTACTTTTCATTTTTTTATTGTAGAAGTTATATTTAGAAGGGAAGGGCAAAACATGGTTAAATTTTAAATATCGCACATATCAAAATTTTAGATATAATTTATATTATCAGATGTACATAACTTGTAGAGTATCAATCAAACTGACATTTTTTTCTCTCGAAAGATTAGAATGAATTTTTAATTTTGATTGTGCAGAATGAAGATCAAATTTATTTGTGGGGCTCAGTATCAACATTATTTGGGGCCCTTTTTTAGAAATTCAATAATAATGATCACATCAATAAGACTTATTTAGAAGTGTCAAAATATTACATTGGTTGGGATTCCTGTATCATTGATACTGTTGATACGGCCGTAGCTACGCCCCTGATAAAGATGCAATATACAGAAACAAACAAAAATAATATTTCATTTCACGTGTGCAATTTTTTAAAATTATAAGATATAGACTTTTTTTAAGTCAATCTATGCCTTCTATATTTTTTAGGGATCGTTTGTGAGGGACATTTTAAAGCATGGTCCAACTGGGTCCGGACCCAGTGCCTTAGCCTTGAGGGTCTCGTTTCATTCTCGACGCGGCCTCAATAAGATCATCAAATGTTTACAAAAAAAGATCAACAGTTTTAATCGTCAAATGTTTTTCCATGACATATTCTTCAATAGACTGGGAATTTTGAACTAGTATATGCTACCTGGAAAGACTGCATCATTAGATCATATCCATCGTCCGTACTAGGCCTAGGCTTACAACCATTCGTCATCATTATTCATTTAGTCGAAAGGTGGTAGTCAGTTTGTGCCCAGGTTTGTGAGATTGTGAGTAGCGCACATTTATTTGTTACGGATTACTGTTAATACGAGTATTTGACAACGTACTCTACTTAAAAGGGTCATTTGTGGAGCCTATTTATAATAGGGGCCCAGGGCCTCAAGAAGTCTAAAAGGTAATTGATCGTTGTTGTAAATCCATACTCAGTGATTTACGGATAGAGCTCAAGAAAGTATGGGTTTGTGTTCTGACTTCACCTAAGACCGTGATGCGGTTTAATACGAATTTTTGAAAATCTACTGGGCCTCGAATTCCATTAGTGACTTGGTATGCAAGTTAAAAGAATGAGGTATCAAATTAGATCAAATTGTCACTTGACAATGAGCTTAAAATTAAAAGGTCCATCTCCAATTCCTTAGAAAAACCAAGAACTTGATTTCTATGTACATATTTTAAGCAAATATAAATGATACTTGACAAAATTTTGTTTTAATTCATATTCATGTTTCAAGTATCATGCAAGTAATAATAATAAAAATATAGTATTATTTTGTATTAATACCTACTCGCGCGCGCGCAAACAAACAAAAAAATTTTGACGTTGCATTCCTTAATATTGAAACAAAGTAAGAGATTATAAAAGGGTACTTAAGCGGTATGAGATTTGTCGAACTTCTATGGAACGTGAGGATGTTAAGGCCTTCTTTTTCTACTTTACGTGATGTGTGTGTGTGTGAATTCTGTATTACTCCACAAAATAATATTTTGGCAAATCAGGACTTGAACCTATGATAAAAAATATCACTCACCTACAGTAGAAGTGTATAGACCTTTATTATGGGAGGTTCTAAAAAATACGTAGACAGAAGCGCCGAGGTGTAATCTTTATGGTAAAAACTTAAAATCTGTTAGTCTACGGGAGGGGGGGGGTTAACACAAACGCCACTCTTGTGTACGCCATTGCTGGTCCACCATGAAGCTTACAGCTTAGTCATTAGATTATTAACGCTCAGTTTTCAAAAAAAAAATATTTACATTTGAAGGACAATGACTTTTTGCTTCGCTTTAAGCTATACTCCTTCAGTTTATCGCAGTAGGTTGCAGTACTGAATAAAATTGGCTATTTCAATCTGTAAGAAAACGTTATAAAATGGATAGTAAAATATATTTATCCGTACATTTATTAATTTAGCAATATTTTAACTAAAAATTCAATACACTTTTCATCGCCATTTACTAATAGAGTAAGTCGTATTTGAATTTCAAAAAAGATTTTTTGTATACATTAGTCTTTCTTTCTTTTCATTGCAATAAATAAAAACACTCATTATTTTTCACAATTCTGCATTCAAATATTTCGACATTGATAAAAAATGTACATAAAAATCCTTGTTTTTTTTCATAAATTGTTGATGTTTTTATGGATATTGCTTTTAAGACAAGGGCTGAACTAACATTTTTTTCTTATTCAAACAATGAGATGCGATATCTATGAATATGAAGCATAAACTCACTGGCATTCAAAATGACGAGAATTAGATAAATAGTGAGAGACTGCAAGTTATATATATAACGCTTATGCTCAAAATGTCGGAGAAAAGACTGACTAAAAACGAAGAGAAAAATCCATTGGGGTAACAATGATGTTTATTCATTCTATATACGGTCTAAAACATAAGGAGCTGGAACTCATAATGATACAAAATGAACTGATACAAAACATGATTCATTTCTTTTTATTTTGAATATCAAAGAAGGAACATATTTATTTGAAACTTGGTAGTTTTGAGACCCAACAGAATTAAAGAATAGAAGCAGTTATTTCGTCAAAAGAGTATGAAATATAACAGATATAGATATTTAAACATACTAAAATTTTCATTAATGAAGTTAGTGATGTACAAAAACGAAGACTCCCAGTAACTTCCGTATGATATTAGTCATTCAAATGGAATATGAACGGAAAAGCTCGTTTACATTAAATCTAAAAGCCATAAATTAGAAAGCACAACATAATTGACATACAAATGGCTCCATATAAATTCAACTCTTTCCGTATATATATACTGGCACAGATTTGGACTCCAATGGTCACATATTAGGAACAAGCATACATAAAAAAAATCAATAAATTTTCCCTTGTAATCTTTGGTATAAAAATAAAAAATGTGTGTGTGTGTGTGTGTGTATTCAGTTTACTTCTAATCTATGAATAGACATTAATAAATCTTAACCCTAAAACTTGGAAAAGTTTCCAACTTCTAGATTTCCACATAAAATTACGATTGAGCTCACGGTCACCCCAAATAATAATGTGTGCCGCCTTCACCATTTTAAATGACATGGACAAAAAAAGAGGAAGAAAAAAACAACGCCCTTCACTTCTGATTAAATTGTAATCGTAGCTTTAGTTCAAGACACGCCACTGGAATATTGGAATTATTTCAATTTTGATAAGAACTATTATCAAAATGTCTGGTGGTGGACAATACGGTTGCAGTCAATAAACTTAAGTTGAATGTGCATTAAAATAAGAATTTATTTATGAATGAAGAGGTGCATAAATTACTGCTCTTATTGCATGCAATGAATACGAATCTACTAGAAGGCGTTACATTTCGATAACGCAAGATCTTGCAATCGTACGAATATATTACCAATGACAAATATGTTCCTGTCTGAGGTTTCACTTCCAGACAGAGACATTTGTGTACCAAAAGCGAATTATTCTCTCTAATCTTTGGTGCATTTGATTGCAGATGGTCGTCTTAAAAGTACACAAACAATAGAATGTACAGCAGTATATATCAAACATATTTAGGTTTTTTAAAATCATTTTTACATTAAACAAGTAATATAAAAAAATTAAGTCAACTCCATCTTAGGTCAACGAAGAAAAATTTCACTTTAGTTACTTTTTATTAAGTAGTTACAATTAATATAAATATAGATATACATAGGACAGAATCCCACTATTAAGTGACTAAAAGGAAAGCGATTTTCCTTACAATTTCCCTTTCTATAGATGGTTGTTGGACTATTTTTGTTTGTTGCTACAATTTATTCATTAATTAAATTTAAGTATTCTAATAAAATAGTCTAGTATAAAAGAAAACACATCCTCAGAAATTAGGCCATCCCAGGTGGGTTCGAACCCACTACCTTAGGATTAGAAATCCAACGCACACTACCCATTGTGCTACAGGAACACGACGAACGATTGTTCGTTCTATATCTGCTGTTACACTATTATTTTTGTTTGCTACTATTTATTCATTTTTTAATTTTAATAATGAATTAATATTTGAAAAAACTGTATTAACATCAAGTGCCATCTACTACAAATTTAAAAAATGTATTTGAACTTGAATGGATGAATAGAAAGTATTTTATCAACGACTGAAAATTTGTACAAGATATATATATATATATAGGGAGAGAGTAAATTAGTAGTAAGAATTGAAAAATAAAATATATTTTATTTGTTGAAAAATATTTATTACGATTACAGAGATAAATTATTTATTGATTAGTATTTTCCTCTTTTAAGCATTTCACCTATAAATCTTTCAAAGTTCAAGCTCAAGGCTTAACGGATCGAGGTGGTTGGCTCTATGCCATATTGTACAGTTGAATTTTCATTAAAATGCTAGTTTGAATTTAATTGCAAAGAAAAGATTTAATAACAAAGAAAATGTACTTTTCCCAACGATAGATGATCAACAACTTCACATAGGTGGCTGGATTTTAGTTTTTTACAACAATTTTAAGATTAGAAATACAGACTTTAAGACGTTTGTACTTATGATTCCATTTAAACAGATGAAAGGTAAAACAAAAAAAAAATGTTATTTCAAACTTTTAATTACGATAAAAGCAATAAGAAATTGTGTACTGCATGCTCAAGTTTTACAAATGAATTATATATAATCAACAAAAATATCTGCAATTCTTTTCTGTAAAAGCAATTGTTGTTTACGAAAAGTTATAATGTACAGAGTATTTTTTTCCAGGTATAGAAGTTTAAGTTGGCATTACTTTCCAAGATGGCGACCGATTTAACAGCTGCCAAGTGATTTATTCTCAGTTTGGTTTGGCAATTCATCAAAACGATCATCAAGCAAGGCGTAGATTCGTCGAATGGGCCCAAAACGAGATTGCCGTTATTCCCGATTTTCATAAGCGAATTTTGTTTAGCGATGAAGCGCATTTCTGGTTGAATGGCTACGTCAACAAACAAAACTGCCGCATTTGGAGTGAAGCTAATCCACAAGTGTATGTAGAAATACCGTTACATCCAGAAAAACTGACTGTTTGGTGCGCTTTATGGGCTGGTGGAATCCTTCTTCAAAAACGATGAAGGCCACAACGTTACAGTCAATGGTGATCGGTATAGAGCCATGATTACTAACTTTTTCATTCCTGAATTGAACAATCATGATGTCCAGGAGCTGTGGTTCCAACAAGACGGCGCAACATGTCACACAGCTCGTGCCACAATCGATTTATTGAAAGACACGTTTGGTGACCGCCTAATTTCACGTTTTGGACCTGTGAATTGGCCTCCAAGATCTTGTGATTTAACACCGCTAGACTATTTTCTGTGAGGCTATGTAAAGTCATTGGTCTATGTGGATAAGCCACAAACGCTTGACCATTTGGAAGACAACATTCGCCGTGTTATTGCCGATATACGGCCACAAATGTTGGAAAAAGTCATCGAAAATTGGACGTCCAGATTGGACTACATCCGAGCCAGCCGTGGCAGACCTATGCCAGAAATCATATTTAAAATGTAATGCCACAAGATTATCTTTCGAATAAAAAAAATTCATGTCAATCGAATTGAATTGTCAATCGAATCAATCGTTGTTTTATTGCAATTTAAAGTTCTATACCTCTCAAAAAAACACCCTTTATAAGGCGTATACAATCCCATGTTATAATAACAATTTATTAAAAAAACACAATTTAGAACATATAATGAAAATGCATTCTAAAATACAATTTAGAAAACAATATTTCCTTATTTTCGCAAAATTTCCTCTGAAATCTAGATTAAATGAAAAAGAAAGCCATTTTAGCAATTACATATGCAAGTGAGACATAATATATATATAAATGCAATAAATTTAAGATAAACCAAACAAAATTATAATGTAAACTTAATTAGAATTTTTTTACCTAATACTACTTCTATTTTAAAAACTATTGCAATTTGTACTGCTTTTAGGACACATTGCATTTAGTTCTCCACTAAATCTGTTTGATGTTGTCTTTCCCAAATATGTGTTTAACAAAATAGAGCTTTTTAAAACCATTTTAACTTAACTTTATTTTATCAATATTTTCTATATTAGACTTAAAATTTTTAATTTACTTCATTCTAGAAATTTTAGAACATATTTTCATGGTCCAATGAAATTTTTATTAGTAACTTTTTAAGCTCAAATTGAATGAAGTTAATCAATTAATCACTGGCGTAGCTAGTCCTGAGAGGGCTTTGTATAAAAATTCTTTGGGGACCCCAATTTGGGGCCTTTTGACATTTTATGATTATTTTCTTACACGTGTTGGAGCCCCTGTAGCTTGGGGGCCCCGTATCATTGATACGGCGGTACCTACGCCCCTGCAATTAATAATAGAAAAATACCTTAATCACACTTATCTAACATTATGAGCAGCTCAGAAATAATTTTTGAAGTTATTCTTTAATCATTCAAACAGGAAAATAATTTATTTATCACAATTTTAATTTCAGCATTAAAAAAACATAGACATAAGAGAGAGAGCTATGGAAATTTTAATCACATAAAACTTAGCAAATAAAAGTAGAAATATAATCTTTTCAATCAATGCTCTTTTTATAAAAGAAATGCAAAGCCGCTTTTGTCCTCGTAAAAAAAAACTCTTTCGAAATTTCGCAAAATTAAGTTACTGTGTTGTTACCCTCCATTTAACAAAATAAGATTGTATTATTGTACTCTTTATCGAAGTACTTATATAAACAGCACTTATACACTGGTGTTCAAAATTAGGAGAATTTTTAGATTTTTCTCGATTATATCTAGAGCTACAGGACAGATTTTAATGAAATTTGGTATATATAGAGATCTGTGATATAATGCAAAAAAATTATCATTCAACAGTTAAAATACACATGCATGATCGTGCGTAACACTAATCGATGTCGAAAGGTATGAAACAGCAGTTGTTATAATTCCTAAATCCTCAATTCCATTGGTCAGTTAGACCAGTGATAAGCAACTTTTTTATCGCTGCGGACCGGTCAACGTTTGATAATTTTACCGTGGCCCGCTGAGGGCGGGACCCGTTGATTGTTTATGTTTTAGATTGTTTTGGTTTAACAATTTTAATTTAGTTACATTTAAATATGCCTTCAGAATAAAAAATAGTTACACCAAAAATGAATAAAAGTGATTTAACGTGGGATATAAAGTGATTTAACCTGGAATATAAAGTGATTTCCGTGGAAAGTTGTGCAATCCGAGAGAAATGCACCACTTTAAATAAAATGGCGATAGCTTAATCTTCTTTAGGCAGCCCGGCACCATTTGATCCACGGACCGAGGGTTGCGGATCACTGAGTTAGACGATTACATCCAATTTGTATGTTATTCCAGCAATTCAGTCCATCATTTAGGCATTTTGATATATTTTCTTAGACGACACAGAAGACATGTATGCACAAGGAACATTACATAACTGATTCTTTAAGCTAAAATGTAGAACTCTCAGATGACTTGCAGCGCCGTCTATTCATTTCACACTTAATTTACAACAGCAGTTGCGTAATACAACAAAAAAATTGGTTAATAAGAGGCTTGGTTCCGTCTTTCAGATTAACAGGTTTCACCCTTTTGACAATTGATTTTATAACAAAAATTAGGGAATTCATGAGTTTCTGTGGCAATCAATCCCACTCTTTCAGCACCTCTGTTTTCAAGCCTTGGATAGTTCTCGGAGGGGAGAAGCGAGTTGCAATTGCCCTCCCCAGAGCATGCTCCTCTGCAAGCTCTATACGGATGAGGTTTGAAGATCGAACTGTCCAATCCTTACTGTTATGGAAATCCTCACTCGAATATCCTCACTTTTATATAAAGTTGTCGACCAGATCAGCTCTGTACCTCTGTGATGACCCCCCTGGGTCACACCTTGAACACCAAGATTAATTTGAGGCAAAGAACCACCAAAAGCCATTTTGAATAATAATATTATTTATTTTTGTTATAATTTCCTCAAAAATATCTGATAACAAATAATATAATAATGTTACGTCTTCTAAAGGGATTTGCCTTTATATATTAAATTAAATTACTAAGAATACAATTAATTACTAATCTAGCTCAACTCAAGTAAGGATTACCGAAATAGGAGATCCGAGAAACACACGTATTCGAATTCTTAATTGTCATTAACTTTAACTAAGTATCTCAAACTGACGCATACTTTAAGCGTACGTGAATTATATTTACCGCTGGCTTATATCAGCTTTCTGGTACGTCTCGCAGCACGACGTCTCCACGAATCTAATCTCTTTGAATCTTCTAGTTTTGCATTTAACGTTGTTGGCTCAATAGCCTACCTTCATCTCTCTTGATATCTCGCAACCCTCGACTTAAATACCTTATCTAATTTAAATATCCCAAACTTCTTTTTGGAGTTGATTGGAAATAAACGCGAATTTATATTCCCCAGAAAGACGCCTAAGAAGATTAATGGAAAGGTTCCTTACAGATTCGTCACACCTCGCATTGTCACCTATTACGAGTAAAATAAAGTCAGGGCCATCTGCATCGGTGAACAGGTGACCATAGGGCTCCGAGACCTCATTCCTATGCCTTAGAGCAGTCACAGTGCCTCTTTCAAGTCTGCTTAATACATGGAGGCGTTTACGGCCATCCAGAGTGAAGCCTGCACAGACCATAAAGTCTCCGCTATCGTAATGGTCATTTCTCGGACTTTAGAGGGCAGTAGTAGGTCTCTGGTTCTCTCTCCATATGAGAGTACAATGAAAATATTTATTAAAATCCGTCCAGTCGCTCTAAAAATTCTCTTAATTTTGAGCACCAGTGTTGTGTGTATATCAGTCTTTTTACCCAATTCGGAAAAAAAAATTATTTTCAATAAGATCAAAAATCGAAAATCTGGCTATGAAATATATTATGTGTTACATATATATTTTTTG